CAGGGTAGTAATTGCTTCTAGGAAGCAGGAGGCATGAGGAGGGAGAGACAGAAGAGACAAAGGTAGCTGCATCTACAATGGGGCAGGTGATATTTTCATTCTTGAGTTGGGTGTTGGGTTCATAGGTGTTAATTTTATTATTATGCTTTCTAACATACATTATATTCTCTTAAGTATCAAATATCACATTTTAAAAGATTAAAAACTAAGAAATAAATATAAAGCGAGAAAGTGAAAATGGGCTTCGGCTACTCTTTCAAGGGAAGAAGGAGGGATGTGCTATTACGAGGCAGATACATATTTAAGGGAGCACTTTTGTTTTTTTTTATGGGAGGGTCTGGATCCTGCTTATAGAATGATGAGCTAGACTTAATGGTTTGACCTGAGGCAATTTTGCCTTCCAGGGTGTATCTGGCAATGTGTGGAGATTTTTTGATTGTCATGACTCCCGGCGAGGGTTCTACTGGTATCTACTGGATAGAAGCTAGGGATACAGCTCAACATCCTACAGTGCACAGGACACCCCCTTCCCCAACTTAGAATAATGCAAAATGTCAACAGTACTAAGGTTGAGAAACCCAGAGTTTAGATAAAGCAAAGCAGGAGAGATTAAAAATATAATAACAGGGGGCCGGCCCGGTGGCGCAAGCGGTTAAGTGCGCGCGCTCCGCTGCGGCCGCCCGGGGTTCGCTGGTTCGGATCCCGGGCGCACACCGACGCACTGCTTGGCAAGCCATGCTGTGGCGGCGTCCCATATAAAGTGGAGGAAGATGGGCACAGACGTTAGCCCAGGGCCATCTTCCTCAGCAAAAAAAGAGGAGGATTGGCGGATGTTAGCACAGGGCTGATCTCCTCACAAAAAAAAAAAAATATATATATATATAACAACAGGTAAATAATCGAAGGAGCAAGGTCCAGAAAAGACAGGAAGAGAGCTTGGTCCAGGAGCAGACACATCACATCTTCAGAGCCTGGACAGCACTAAGGCCTCGACTCTCATTCTTAAGTCCACTCCTTTAAACAGAATGTCAATGAAGCAGACCTCATCTAACCTGGCTGTTACTGAAAACAAACAAAAGGCCTGTGTAGAGTTTTATTGCTAATCATTCTGCGGAAAGAGGCAGGAAAAGTACAAAATAACAAACGCAGGTGGGGTGAAGTCACCTCAGAGCTAATGAAGCTTAAGCTTTGGGACTCATTGCTGGCACTTGGCCCTTCTGTAGTCCTGGGAGGGACCTTAGCAATTTTGAAATTTATGTTTGAATTAATTGTATTTCGTGAAGAGGTCCACCAAATTGTAGACACTTCAGGCCCCCACAAGATGAGGATTCACTCTTGAATGCAGCAAAGTGATTCAGTGTAATAATTTGTGTAGCTACTTTCCTTGACATCTTTGCTAGATGGCACCCTGAAGCTTTGACGGCTACATACTATTCTGTTTTGCTCCCTAAGACGCAGTTCATAAAACTTCATCACCCTCCAGGTCTTTTACCCTTATATAGTCTTCACAGGTCACTTCCTCCATAAAAGCAAGTCTTTCCACAATTAAAGGCCTAAGGGTACAATTAGGCCAAAACAACAAAGAATAAGGAAGGTGATTCAATTTCCCCTACTCTAAAGGGGAATCACATCAGAGTGGGAACTTGCTATCTCTCGGTCATAGTTCCACATAGGAAATGGCTCAGGAAAATTGCTATGAGATTTTGTATACAGGACAGTCATCTAGAAAGCTTGTTATAAATGTGAATTCTAGGAACTCACTCTATGAGAGTTACATGATCCTGATCCAAAGACAAGAATTTAAAAACTATTTCCTTAATGCAAAGATTCTTAATCTTTTGGGTGTCAGAACCCTTGGAGGATCTTTCCATATCCATATACTTATAATTTTAATGTGGGATTTTATTAGTTTGCTATGGCAGCCATAACAAAATACCACAGACTGGTGGCTTAAACAACAGAAATTTCTTTTATCAGTTCTGGAGGCCAGAATTCTAAGATCAAAGTGTCAGCAGGATTGGCTTCTTCTGAAGCCTCTCTGCTTGGCTTTCAGAGAGCTGCCTTCTCACCGTGTTCTCACAGGGTATTTCCTCTGTGGGCACACATCCCTGATGTCTCTTTGTGTGTCCAAATTTCCTCTTCTTATAAGGACACCAGTCAGACTGGATTAAGGCCCACCCTAATGGCCTCATTTTAACCTAAGCACCTCTTTAAAGACCCTATCTCCAAATACAGTCACATTCTGAGGTCCTGGGGGTTAGGGCTTCAGCATATGAATGAAGGGGGCAAAATTCAGCCCATAACAGAGATTGTTCTATGGCCCCCATACTTATGATCCCTAGCTTAGATATACCTTCACAGAGAATTGCAGTGTGTAGATGATCTAACTGAGAGAAAAAGAAGAGAGCCATGAGGTCAACACCACATGTTGTGTGTCCCACCACAGTTAGTGGGGAAAGACCGTCTAAGGAGGGAGAGAAAAACCCACTGAATTTGACTGGAAAGAGGAAGTCATTGATGGTCTTAAGGATGTGTGTGTGTATGCGCGTGCACGCATGGGTGTATGTGTGTGTGTGTGTATAATATAAATATTATATATTTATATTTTATATATGTAAATATTATATATTTATATTTTATATATAAACATATATTCATATTATATATAAATATATATACAATTTTAAAATATATATTTTAAATATATACGTAAAGAGAAGGAGAGAGAGAAATCATCTCTTTTGAGAACTATAGAGAAAATAAAATTAAAGATGACAGAAAAAAATGAAAGAGAGTGAAACACAATATGTGCTTCCACTCCATCCTGCAACTACTAAAATGACAGTAAAAGGACATAATCCAAACAGGACAAACAGAACTTGAGTGGAGAGGCCAAAAGAATATCAGCAATATTTGGGAAGTTCTACAACATATGGACAAATGTTGACTGGCTTTCCACACTAGAAAAGCAGAGCTCTAAATGCCTGCAAGGTGAAGGGACCCAGTAAACAAGCTGATTCCTGAAAAAGAACTTCAGAAATTCTCAGGAATTGGAAGTGTAGGGTCCCCCTGAGAATGGGAAAAGTGGTGGGTGTGGGTGAAATCAAGAGAAACAGCTCAAAGTCTGTATAATAAACAATAAGGCCAGACAATTGAGAAAAAAATCTGACTTACAGGAGTCCCAGAAAGAGAGTTAGGAGGAAAATGGAAAGAAGGAAAAACATCAAATAAATAATGAACATTTTCCAGAGCTGAAAGCCATGGAGTCCTCCATAGAAGGTCCATTGTGTCCCAACACAGTGGATGAAAAAAGATCTAATCTAAGGGAAATTTGAGAAAATTTTAAAATACAGAGGTACATGGGGTCAGGATTAGGGGACAGGGTGGCAGGAAACACGTTATACATAAACCTTTGAGATTAGAATGGCATCAGACTTCTCAGCAGCTGTACTAGAAGTCTGAAAACAATGGAGCAATATCCTCAGAATTCTAAAGCAAATGATTTTCATTCTAGAATTTTATATTCATCTATCAATTATGTGTGAAGTTTGAATAATATTTTCAAACATAAAAAACTCAAAATTTTACCTTAGATCCTTCTTCAAGAAGCTAGTAGAAGGTGTGTTTCAGTAAAATATCATACTAAACTCAGAAAAAAGACTATACAAGTGGGAGATCAAAGGGATGCTCCAGGATGATGGTGAAGTTAAACTCTGAGATGACAAGAGAACCAAGAAGGATCTCTCTAATTTAAAAACCATAAACTTGGAACTGATGGACCCTGCTGCAGTTTACCACATTGACAGGAGTATAAGAACTCTGGTAGAGAGTTTGGCAAAAAATTAGTGAAAGTAATATAAAAATCTAAGAAAATGGAAAAAATGGATAATATTTAATCTGGATGGGGGAAGAAGTATGATCCATTTTCCCAATTATAATAATACAAATATTTATTACTTAACTAAAAGTTGTGGTGTAGCTATTTTGGGAAGATGAGGGGGGAGATGACTGGGGCTTGCTGGTGCAGCAGTGCACAGATGTTTTAGCTATGGTACTGCAAAAAAAGAAAGCTAAAATCTTCATCTTCCTAAACAGAAAGTCAACAAATATTGTCTAAAATCAATGATATCAAGAAAGAACAGTACACAAATGTTATTTAGAAATATAGAGGTAAGACCCAGAAGAAATAACAGAGGAGTTTTAAATGATTTCCTCCAGGAATTGGCAGGGACAAAAGGATGCTGCTTTTCATCATAAATTTTTTAAAAATGACTTTAAAAAATATGGACATTGATCATTTTGACAAAAATAAATTAGTAAATTATAAAGAAAATGTATTATGTAATACATACATTTATGCCAAAAACTACTATGATCTCAATATTTCTGTATGTTTTATGTAAGATTGATATGGGTCTGAAAAAAATTTAGCTCAATTCAACTCTGTATAAGCCTAGACTATAGGAACTATTTTTCTTATTACAGTTAACCTTTTCTCAAACATGTTGGGCACTTGCCTATTTTAATATACTTTAATCCACCAGGTTTAAGGAGCATCCATCTCAATGAATGATATTACCAATAGGCTACATGAGTTACCTATCTCAAGATCAGACATCCATATTTCTTCAGGGGGCTGGGATTTTGGAGTAATAAAGCCTACAGGGACTACCGTAAATTAGCGTGTTCCAAATCCAGGTCTCAGGACAGTGGGTGTGGTGACAGGGCCATCATGCAAGAGTGATGTCAAACGCACCCAGCTCAAGTCTTCTGGGAAAACAGTGATGAGTGGTGTGCTGGAAAAGTTAATTCTTGATAACTTATAAGCTTTTCTCAAAACAACTTCATTTTTATTGAATATTCTATTTCTTTCAATAATATTATCACTCAGAATGTTAAAATGGCCAATGAAAAAACTAACCCAAGTAACACCCATACAAGTAGGTGTCTCCCTCACCCATTTTCTTTCCCTCCTGAGATATAGTTTGATGTTTCCATACCTCTCTATAGCCATTGCTGATTTGTTCCAAGCTGAGGGAATACACAAGATCCTTGCCTCCCACGAAGAGTCTCTCTTGATATTCATCCAGCAGCATTGTATGGAGATCAAGAAATCCAAAATGGCTATGAAAGATTGATGTTCTGTTTAGATCCAAGAGCTCTGAAATGTAAAAGGAAATGTATGCTAAACACAGGAGAAAATACAGTACTTTTATAACACTTTTCTCGTGGCTTTATTTTCATACTTTTCGAACTGTGTAGTTAACATTCATTTTATCATAAATATAAAGCCTTTAAAATTTATTATTCAAGATTAAAAATATACAATGCATTAACAATATTGTATTGTATATTTGAAAGTTGCTAAGAGAGTGGATCTTAAAAGTTCTCATTACAAGAAAAAGAATTCTATGTGAGGTGATGAATGTTAACTAAACTTACCGTGGTAATCATTTCATAATATACATATGTCAAATCAATATGTTGTATACCTTAAATTTAATACAATGTTATATATCAACTATATCTCAATAAAACTGGAAAAATAAAAAAAAATTTGTTCAACATGTAAAAAATAGAGTGCAACTGGGAATAAATTTTAGTGTGCACAAATTAAAATCTTTTATAGGTTTATGAACCTAAAAACTTCAAATCAATATGTAGGGTAAATATCCTATGTTTTTAAATATAGAAAGAATTATCCTTCGCAATCTTTAACGTAAAGTGATGTGGAAAAGTCATTTTATTATGACTTTTATATTTACTTCTCTATGTGTAACAAAACTCCCAAATCTACCATAAATATTCCCAAAACATGTCCACTTAATTCCAGATGAATACCAACTCAGAAAAAGTATTTCCACTTGAAATTGGTTTTGAAAGTCACATCCAAAATTAAGTTGTCCAAGTCTGGAAACTATCAGGGTTGTTAATACAATGAGGTAACACAGGTAGCATTCAGTACAGTGGGGATGACTGACAATACTGATGGGGATCTACTTTTCTTCATTGTTATTTTGGCTAGTGTTTATGCATTCATCCCTATGTCAGAAATTACAAATTATATGTTTTAGCTAAGATACATTTAATTTTAGAAAGTCAGAATCTGGCAAACCTCTCATGTGTGCGCATTTGTTTGTTTGCTGAAAGTATTTAATTGCACATGCAGATCAGTACTTAAGGTTGGTATATGATATATGAGAGCCTTTGATGATGAAGAATATATTGGCCCCAAGACCAGATCCTGCATGCTGAAGAATTCTTGAAGAAGCCCCTTGGAAAATATTGACAAGTTAAAAGATAACTTCATCTCCCAAAGGTTAATGCCTAATGCATCTGACCGAGAATGTGGATTACTGGGAACCAGAACACTAAGATACAGAAAGCAATAGGAATATGACAAATCTATAGCATTTTGCCTACTCTTACATCATCTGTTTCTGAGAAAAGAGAGATAAAGTATCTTTTCTCCTCTATTAAGAATGTATTCACTGCCTACATCTCTACTCTGAAACTGTTGATGTCCAAAATTTTGTAGAGTAGGGTTAACTTTAAGTCTTTAGTTTTAAATAAGCAATACTGCTAAAATCAAAGTATCTCTTATAAAGGTAAACCTTGTGCTATTGAGTCACGTGACTATTCACCTAAATAAAGAATCTGAGAACCAGTTTTGAGGATGGGATGGAAAGAATAATAAGGTGCTTTATTTGGAGAAGAAGAAAATAGAAATTTGAGAGATTAGGGGTTCTTGAATCTTGAAAGACAAATTTGTCAGAGTAGAATCTCACAGTTTTCCTTCCTTACTAGGCATTCACAAATAGCAAGAGGTACACATTTTAGGGATCCAATACTATAACAAAAATATAGATCAAAGCTATCCACTGCCATTAACACCTTGTCATTATATATAATCACTTATGGTCTTATTCCCAGAAAAGGTTCCCCAGTTATTATGACAGATTGCTAAAATTCCCCAAGTTTTATGCACAGTGAAATCATTATCTGAAAGGATGCAACTGATCCAAGAATGGTTACACATTAGCTAGAATTAACAGGTCTCTAAACTACAGTTACCAAACACACTAAGATGCAGAGCTCAAGAGACTGTTTGCTGGAAAATAAGAGAAAGTCATGAAAAGAATCAAATAGGAGGGCCCTACCCTAAAGTGTTGTCACAGTGGAGCAGTCTATGCCAATATTAAAAAGTCTGAATTAGAATGAAGGGCAGCCCACCCAGTAAAGGAGGCACTCCATGAATGAATTCCATCTAGGGATGACTTTGCTTGTTTCCCAGTGAAGTCATTAGCACCTCAGTACCTCTGTCTACACATGGAGAGATCAACTTCTACTTGTTTTTATGACTTGCCAACTTCTGCTATCCTTACTATAATTTTTATAGTCTAAAGGTGATTGTTCCCATTTCTTTGTCAGTAATAACAGAGACTAATTAGTAACTCATCAATCCTATTTTATTCTGATATATCAACTTTTATTCTGACTCATCTTCTTGTCTCTATGGCCAAGTCTATCCCACAGGACCACAAAGACGTACTCACGTTCCTGTGGAGACATAGTTTGGAAAATGCAAAGGGAAAAAACTGAAGTGTGCATTCAACAAATGCAAATTTGTTAAATATTCATTTCTTATAGCCTTTACATTTATCTTTTTTTCCCGCAACAATAAATAACCACAGCATAACAGTTTAAATTACCATTGTCCTTTAATTTACTGATGGAGAAACTCAAGTGCCCAAAGATTAAATGACTATCGTACAGACATACAGTATTACAATGAAAAATCACTCAAATTACTGAAAAAACATGAGAAATAAAGTACAACAGATGTGTATATCACAAGAGAAAGTCCTGTAGACAGAGAATCTGGAGAGCCAGGTTCTAGTCTTGGCTTTGCCATGAACCTTGAATAACCACTTAACCTCTTTAGATTGTTTTGTTCATATGTTAATCACCCTTCCACCTTCAAAATCTTCATTCTTTGACTAAATTGCATTTCTAAAACAGAGGTGATATATTTTTATTGTTCATTTCCACAGGCATAAATCCTGATTGTGATCCTAAATTTTCTCTAAGACCCATACTGTCCTTCCTGTCTGTGATTCTCCAACATCCTTGACTTTAAGTCAAGAAAAGTTAAAAAGTATCCATTATGGGTAAATATTTTTGCTGTATATCTGGAATAAGAGACATTCTTTAATAGAAACATTTTCTGAAAGGTTATACATATTTATGCTTCAGTATTAACTCTAATTCTCTACTTTTATTTAACTTGTCTATTCCCAAAAAAGATCTGAGATGACTTATACAAACATATTCAACTGAAAAAACAAATATATTGCTAGAGGTGTTAAGGTAAAGGCGAAAAAAACAAAGAAAATAAGATAAGGCTGGAATAAATTCTATTAACTGAAAGTCATTCTGTCATATCCTATATATTATTAAAAGAATACCAAAATTGACCCCAGGCTTCCTAAAATTCAAAGTAAAAGTCACTATTATACAAGAGAAAAACTGTATCAGTTGCTTAGGAACATTGCCTGGTATGATGGTCAATTTTACGCATCAACTTGACTGCATCATGGGATGCCCAGATATTTGGCTAAACATTATTTCTGGGTGTGTCTGTGAGGGTGTTTCTGGATGAGATTAGCATTTGAATTGGTGGACTCACTAAAGCAGACTGCTCTCTCCAATGTGAGTGGGCCTCATCCAATATGTTATGGGTCTGAGAAGAACAAAAAGTAGAGGAAGGAAAAATTCATTCCTTTTTTCTGCCTAATTGAGCTGGAACATCAGTCTTCTGTCCTCAAACTGAGACTTACATCATCAGCTAGCCTGGTTCTTAGGCCTTCGGACTCAGAGTGAACTACACCACCAGCTTTCCCGGCTCTCTACCTTGCAGACAGCGGATTGCAGGACTTCTCAGCCTCTGTATTGCATAAGTCAATTCCTCATTTCATATATACATATATTTATTTCCTATTGGTTCTATTGCTTCTGTTTCTCTGGAGAACGCTGAATAATACACCTGGTATTAAGGTCTAAGAGAAATTTCTCCTGAGGTCCTCTTAATGGGAATGCTGGAAAATACTATGATCGATACACAACATCACTAAAAAATAAGCTATCAAGTGCCATACCTCTGCTTATAATTACATCCCTCAATACAAGCCAACTGAATTCAAATCAAAGTGCAATCTTCCAGAAGTGACTTTATGGTCACGGGTGGCCATGTTAGTCAGGATATTAATGGCTACAATGAACAGAGGTTAACTAAGTCAGGGTAACGCAAATCCGAGGACAGAAAACCAGGTTTCATGGTAATTAAAAAAAACTAACAGAAGCACAAGGTAATTTATCTCTTAGGAGATGGTGCATCTTTGCTTCTTGCTTCTCTTAATGCCACCACTTCTCTGTATTGATCCTAAACGGTTTATTCATTAGTTTGTTCATGGCCAAATACACCTGCATTAGCCTCCAACTGTATGACCTTTCAACTCTCACCCCACCACTGTATGACAATAGTTTTTGCATTTTTCAATTCAAATTCTCAAAGAAAAGAATGTAATTGGCTTAGCCAGTGTTCACAATTCATAGACTGCTGGCTTCCTCTAGATGGGATGCTTTGGGATCAATTATCCATCCATAATTAAATGTGGAAGCCACGCGGTAAATAGTGTGGTCCCTATAATTATGGGGGGGCAGAGGTGTTGCCATGAAGCATATGTATCAATCTCATAGGCAAACCTATCTAGTCTGTTTTTACTCATGAATAAATTTATAATAACATAAATTCATCACAATCTGTATTTTCAGTAGATTGAATAAGTTGACCTGCTGCATATAGATGTTCAATATAATCTTATTAAGTGTTGAAGAACATCTGCCAAAAATGAAAATTTGGGTTTTCCACTAGTTGATCTTGAGCCATCTTTCCTGATAATAACTGAATTATTAAAGTCACTCATACAACTGGAGAACAAACCTTACTGTCTGCACAGAGAAGAGCAGTTTCATTTCTGTTCTCTTTTGAAATGGGGAAACATTCATCTCTCTCATCCATATGAAATTTCTAGGAATTGAAGTATGCTTTATTTGTAAAAAGAGCACTGTAAACATAAAAGCAATTAATAAGATAAAAAC